CAGGACGCTTATTGTGTTGTCTCTCAGTGAAGCTGGAGATACTGTCCTGGGAGACAGTAATGGTGAAGCTAGAGATTTTGTCCAGGTAGTCGGGAATTATACGCAGGAAGGAATACATATAAATGACCTCATAGGGGACAGGAGCCATAGTAGGGAAACAAGTGTAGTCAAAGATAAGATAAAACCAATATTGCAAACTAGAAATACCGCAGGAAATAGCAAACAAGAGGACTCCAATAGCAATAGTGAGGATAAATTACCAAAAACAACTGGTGGGAGCTCCATTGTTGGTGCTAGGGAGGATAGAAGTAAGACAGGGAAACATGCACCAACAGGGAATACAGTCACAGAAACCCAAGGCAAGCGGAAACCAAGCCTGTGCACATACTATGCACTTGGTATCTGCGGGCATGGGAAATCTGGAAAAACAGATGGGACGTGCAACTATGACCACCCTAGAAAATGCCATGCCCATATGACAACAGGAAAATGCAAACTCCCTTCCTGTAAGCTTTTTCACCCTGAAATGTGTACCTCTTCAGTACAGGAAAGACTGTGCTATAACTTAAATTGCCAGGCATACCATCTAAAGGGGACAAAAAGATACAAAACATCCAGGCCATGGGAAAACCCGGGTTTGCCACAGCCACTCAAGAGGGAGAGGTTTTTTAGTGCCAGGAAGGAAAAAAAAACTGGCAGGAAATGGCAGAAATCGTACACCAAATCCAGTCATTCCTGGAGTGGAACCACAGTCGATGGCCTCCACTCCAAACCAACAGATACAGATACTAATGCCGGAAAAAAAATCCCCCCCAGTACCAACAATACCACCAGTCCGATAACATTCTTCTTTGCAAATATACAGGGTCTAAAGCCAGCAACAAACAACAAAATACCTTTCATCCGTGGACTGCTTGCAGAGGCAAAGGCAATGTTCGCGGCTTTCACTGAGACCCCCATAAAGGATCACTTGGACAATGAAATATGGATCCCAGGTTACAACCTATACAGATGTGACAGAGTGAACAGGCAAAAGGGGGGGGTTGGCCTGTACATTGCAGAGTCACTTGTTTGCACAGAACTGCTTAATGCCTCAAATGACGTAGTGGAAGTTTTAGCAGTAAAGGTCGAGAACCAAAACCTAGTCATTGTGGTAGTCTACAAGCCTCCGGATGCAACATCCCAGCAATTCCAGGAACAGCTGTTAAAAATTGACCACTGTCTGGAAAATCTTCCAGCTCCTGCACCCAACATCTTGCTCCTGGGGGATTTCAACTTAAGGCACCTAAAATGGAGGAATATAGCAAATAATATTGTTGCAGTAATAACACCAGGAGGCAGCTCTGATGAAAACTCACACTCACACGAGCTTTTAAATCTCTGCACAAAATTCAATTTAAACCAGCAAATAATAGAGCCTACTAGACTGGAGAATACACTAGACCTCATATTCACTAACAATGATGATCTGATAAGAAATGTCACCATATCAAAAACAATATACTCAGATCACAACATAATTGAGGTTCAGACATGTATGCGAGGAGCCCCAGACCGACAAAATGAGACTAGTCACGAGGGAGCATTCACCAAATTCAACTTCAATAACAAAAACATAAAGTGGGACCAAGTAAACCAAGTCCTAACCGATATAAGCTGGGAAGATATACTAAGCAACACAGACCCAAACTTATGCCTAGAACAGATTAACTCGGTGGCACTCGATGTATGCACAAGGCTTATTCCTCTAAGAAAAAGGAGGAGTAGATGTAAAATAGAAAGAGACAGGCGCTCCCTTTACAGGCGACGGAAAAGAATAACAGAGCGGCTAAAAGAGGTCAATATATCTGAAATGCGCAGGGAGACACTGGTCAGAGAAATAGCAAGCATCGAACTTAAGCTAAAAGAATCCTTTAGGAGTCAGGAATCGCGGGAAGAACTAAAAAGCTAAAAATGAAATCGAAAGAAACCCAAAGTATTTCTTCTCCTATGCCAAATCAAAATCGAGAACAACGCCCAGTATTGGGCCCCTACTTAAACAAGATGGGTCCTACACAGATGACAGCAAGGAAATGAGTGAGCTACTCAAGTCCCAATATGACTCAGTTTTTAGCAAGCCGCTAACCAGACTGAGAGTCGAAGATCAAAATGAATTTTTTTATGAGAGAGCCACAAAATTTGATTAACACAAGCCTATCCGATGTTATCCTGACGCCAAATGACTTCGAACAGGCGATAAATGACATGCCCATGCACTCTGCCACAGGGCCAAACTCATGGAACTCTGTGTTCATCAAGAACTGCAAGAAGCCCTATCACGAGCCTTTTCCATCCTATGGAGAGGGAGCATGGACACGGGGGTCGTCCCTCAGTTACTAAAAACAACAGACATAGCCCCACTCCACAAAGGGGGCAGTAAAGCAACAGCAAAGAACTACAGACCAATAGCACTAACATCCCATATCATAAAAATCTTTGAAAAAGGGGCCTAAGAAGCAAGATCACCACCCATCTAGAAACCCATCAGTTACACAACCCAGGGCAACATGGGTTTAGAACAGGTCGCTCCTGTCTGTCTCAACTACTGGATCACTACGACAAGGTCCTAAATGCACTAGAAGACAAAAAGAATGCAGATGTAATATATACAGACTTTTCAAAAGCCTTCGACAAGTGTGACCATGGGGTAATAGCGCACAAAATGCGCGCTAAAGGAATAACAGGAAAAGTCGGTCGATGGATCTATAATTTCCTCACTAACAGAACACAGAGAGTAGTCGTCAACAGAGTAAAGTTTCCCAGGCAGCTACGGTGAAAAGCTTGTTCCACAAGGCACAGTACTAGCTCCCATCTTGTTCCTCATCCTCATATCCGACATAGACAAGGATGTCAGCCACAGCACCGTGTCTTCCTTTGCAGATGACACCCGAATCTGCATGACAGTGTCTTCCATTGCAGACACTGCAAGGCTCCAGGCGGACATCAACCAAATCTTTCAGTGGGCTGCAGAAAACAATATGAAGTTCAACGATGAGAAATTTCAATTACTCAGATATGGTAAACATGAGGAAATTAAATCTTCATCAGAGTACAAAACAAATTCTGGCCACAAAATAGAGCGAAACACCAACGTCAAAGACCTGGGAGTGATTATGTCGGAGGATCTCACCTTCAAGGACCATAACATTGTATCAATCGCATCTGCTTGAAAAATGACAGGATGGATAATGAGAACCTTCAAAACTAGGGAGGCCAAGCCCATGATGACACTCTTCAGGTCACTTGTTCTATCTAGGCTGGAATATTGCTGCCCCACTAACAGCACCTTTCAAGGCAGGTGAAATTGCCGACCTAGAAAATGTACAGAGAAACTTTCACGGCGCGCATAACGGAGATAAAACACCTCAATTTACTGGGAGCGCTTGAGGTTTCTAAACCTGTATTCCCTGGAACGCAGGAGGGAGAGATACATGATTATATACACCTGGAAAATCCTAGAGGGACTAGTACCGAACTTGCACACGAAAATCACTCACTACGAAAGCAAAAGACTTGGCAGACGATGCACCATCCCCCCAATGAAAAGCAGGGGTGTCACTAGCACGTTAAGAGACCATACAATAAGTGTCAGGGGCCCGAGACTGTTCAACTGCCTCCCAGCACACATAAGGGGGATTACCAACAGACCCCTGGCAGTCTTCAAGCTGGCACTGGACAAGCACCTAAAGTCAGTTCCGGATCAGCCGGGCTGTGGCTCGTATGTTGGTTTGCGTGCAGCCAGCAGCAACAGCCTGGTTGATCAGGCTCTGATCCACCAGGAGGCCTGGTCTCAGACCGGGCCGCGGGGGCGTTGACCCCCGGAACTCTCTCCAGGTAAACTCCAGGTAATCTATACATGTGATAATACAAGATAAGATTTCGTTCGGATTTTTAACCCCGCAGGGTTAGCTATCCAGGATAACCCAAGAAAGGCAGGCGTCATCGAGGACTGTCATATTTCCATTGGAGTCCTCAATCTTGTCCACCAAGATGCCACCCACACCAGTCGACTAACACCCAGATACCTATTTGCTGCTAGGTGAACAGGACAAGAGGTGTAAGGAAACGCGTTGAAATGTTCCTACCCCGCCGGGAATCGAACCCGGGCCCTCTGTGTGTGAATAGAGAGTTTTGCCAGCCAGATCACGGTTTCTATATAGTAGTATGTCATTCATGCCAGCTATGGTCTGAATACCTTGTACATGTACTTGTAGAAATAAAGTTAGCTTAATATGTTTATTATAGACACCATAATAATAATAATAATAATAATAATAATAATAATAATAATAATAATAATAATAATAATAATAATAATAATAATAATAATAATAATAATAATAATAGTTACCCATCCTGTAGGTAAGTAAGTAAGTAAGTATATTCAGGTATACACAAATATAGTTACATAGAAATATCATACATAGCAGCATATGCGTAGAGAACCTAGGATAACCCAAAAAAAGTCAGACAGGTTAGATAAGATAAGATTTCGTTCGGATTTTTAACCCCGGAGGGTTAGCCACCCAGGATAACCCAAGAAAGTCAGTGCGTCATCGAGGACTGTCTAACTTATTTCCATTGGGGTCCTTAATCTTGTCCCCCAGGATGCCACCCACACCAGTCGACTAACACCCAGGCACCTATTTGCTGCTAGGTGAACAGGACAACAGGTGTAAGGAAACGTGTCGAAATGTTTCCACCCGCCGGGAATCGAACCCGGGCCCTCCGTGTGTGAAGCGGGAACTTTAGCCACCAGGCGACCGAGCCACCGGGCGGTAGTCAAAAAGACTGGGCCCCAAAGTTATGATAGCTGAACTAGTTACAAAGATAATGAAATAAAGACATTATTATTATTATTATTATGAATATATTATAATAGTAACATTATTATTATTATGAAGCAGGTCTTGATACGACATAAGGTGTCAGTGGCCCTATAAACCCACCAACAACAATGAGACTTAAGTTTTGGTGGCCCTTAGCCAGCCTTCCCTCCCTCCTCACCCAAACAAAAAAAACATCAAAGGGAATAGTCTATATATGAGTGATCAAGGAACCTCTCAGAGAAGTACACGTATTCTGAAGCAAGACAGAAGGTTATCACAGGTGTTATTGCAGGTATTACTTGAAGGTTAAGATATTTACATATTAGTGGCTTCTTTTGTGCCTTATAATGTTACTTGTAAAGTGCAGCGCTGTATAGCCCTTGTGGCTTAGCGCTTCTTTTTTATAATAATAATAATAATAATAATAATAATAATACTTGTAAAGTATTTTTGTACAGCCTAAGAGATGTATAAAGTTGAATTTAACACATTATTTGGTAGATAAAACATTGATAGCTCTGGTACGGCTGGAAAACATTAGGGACTTGTTTCCACAAGATACCTACTGTCACTGTTCACTCATCAGTGTTAGGTACCTGGGTGTTAGTGGACTGGTGTGGGTGGCATCCTGGGTGTTAGTGGACTGGTGTGGGTCACATCCTGGGTGTTAGTGGACTGGTGTGGGTCACATCCTGGGTGTTAGTGGACTGGTGTGGGTCACATCCTGGGTGTTAGTGGACTGGTGTGGGTCACATCCTGGGTGTTAGTGGACTGGTGTGGGTCACATCCTGGGTGTTAGTGGACTGGTGTGGGTCACATCCTGGGTGTTAGTGGACTGGTGTGGGTCACATCCTGGGTGTTAGTGGACTGGTGTGGGTCACATCCTGGGTGTTAGTGGACTGGTGTGGGTCACATCCTGGGTGTTAGTGGACTGGTGTGGGTCGCATCCTGGGTGTTAGTGGACTGGCGTGGGTCACATCCTGGGTGTTAGTGGACTGGTGTGGGTCACATCCTGGGTGTTAGTGGACTGGTGTGGGTCACATCCTGGGTGTTAGTGGACTGGTGTGGGTCACATCCTGGGTGTTAGTGGACTGGTGTGGGTGGCATCCTGGGTGTTAGTGGACTGGTGTGGGTCACATCCTGGGTGTTAGTGGACTGGTGTGGGTCACATCCTGGGTGTTAGTGGACTGGTGTGGGTGCATCCTGGGTGTTAGTGGACTGGCGTGGGTCACATCCTGGGTGTTAGTGGACTGGTGTGGGTCACATCCTGGGTGTTAGTGGACTGGTGTGGGTCACATCCTGGGTTTAGTGGACTGGTGTGGGTCACATCCTGGGTGTTAGTGGACTGGTGTGGGTCACATCCTGGGTGTTAGTGGACTGGTGTGGGTCACATCCTGGGTGTTAGTGGACTGGTGTGGGTCACATCCTGGGTGTTAGTGGACTGGTGTGGGTTGCATCCTAGGTGTTAGTGGACTTGTGTGGGTCACATCCTGGGTGTTAGTGGACTGGCATGGGTCACATCCTGGGTGTTATTGGACTGGTGTGGGTTGCATCCTAGGTGTTAGTGGACTGGTGTGGGTCGCATCCTAGGTGTTAGTGGACTGGTGTGGGTCACATCCTGGGGACCAAATTGACCTAATTTGCGGGAAATGTTCAGCATAACAAGGGACTTTCTATATAGTAGTATGTCATTTATGTCAGCTATAGTCTGTATACCTGGTACATGTACTTGTAGTAAATTAAGATATATTATTAACAGGTTGAGGTGAGTCATCCTGACAGTGTGAGATGATGATCGACACTAACAAGACATTTGCCGTACATCAGGCTGCCTATCAGGGCAAGTATGAAGAGGTGAAAATAAATGTACTTGCGAACAACCGTCTCCTCACAGCTACAGATGATGTAAGTTCAACAATCTCAGTGTTTAGTAGTCTTTATCTTTGGTAAACCAGTCTGGCAGTTATATTTGGGTTTATCTCCCTCTCTAAAGGAAATAAGTCACTTTGGTCAGTGCCTGACCAGCCAGGCTGTGGTTTGTATGTTGGTTTATGTGTGGCCAGCAGTAACAGCCTGGTTGATCAGGCCATGATCCACTACCAGGCCTGGTCTTGGACTGGGCTGAGGTGGCATTGACCCCAGGAATGTCCTCCAAGTATGTATGATGATTGCATGTACTTATGTGTATCTGTACCTAAATAAACTTATTTACTTATTTAGCCTCTCATAGGTGTCTTGATGCCAGTGAAGGGCTCTTCATCCAAGGAATTGGAAATATTACCCCCTTGGATCAAACCTGGTTGACTTCCAGTACCTTAGGTATTGTATGACCCCTGCAGGTGCTTGTGGTTTGCTTGGTAATGTTATCATGACTCACAAAATCGTAATGACACGATTGCAAACAAACTGTACGATGGGTAGGGATAGAACTCGCAATCATAGAGTTATAAAACTCCAGACTGACGCGGTAGCCACTGGGCCAGCTGGTATGGTTTGGTAACATTCTCATCTCACACAGGTACACGTAAGTACAATTATTATACATGTGTATAGTGTAACTTACTTATGGTGTTCCATAGCTCAGTTGTTAGTGCATTCAGCTCACACATTGAAGTCCATGGTTCAGTCCCTGGTACGAGGTACCTGGGTGTTAATCAACTAGTGTGGATCGCATCCTGGGAGCAAAAATTAACTTAAGTTGCAGGAAATGCTCTGCAGAACCAGGGGCTTTCTGTATAGCTTGTCATTGATGTCGGCTATGGCCGTATGAGTTGTATCACGTACTTATAGAAACAGAATATTATTACTGTATTACATATTATCATTATTATTATAGGATAACTCAAAAAAGTCAGATGAAATGACTTATTGGGTTCAGGATTCATCCCCATCACAGGTGAATTTTGGGCTTGTTTCATTATACCTGCTGCTCTTATTCACCTAGCAGGAAGTAAGTATGCTCATAGGTGTAAGTTGGCTGTTGTGGGTGGCAAGATTAAAGGACTGCTTCTTTAACACAGTGAAGGTACAAACAGATGTCTTCTTGAAGGGGCCAGGCCGAGGTTTGGCAGACAGTAACTCGACACTGCCACCAGCCTTGAAATGCTGCACTCAGTTCCTCACTGAGCGCTCACACATGCTAACATTCTCCAATATTTCTTTCGTCTGGTGCCCAGCTTTGTGAAGCCCTATGATTTGAGCTATAGTTTCAGGTGTTAAAGATTTCCTTTTACCCATGATCAAACATGTATAGCCCCAAAATCAAAAAGAACACCAGACAAAAGATGGGTGCAGATGAGAGACAACAGTGCGACACTTCCTCTCACCACAGCAGCCATGTGAGCAATGAGAAGTCACCTGGAAGTGTGACGGCAGGCCATGACATCATGTTAATGGCTGCTACCCAGCAGAATGCACTGACGAAAAAAGACTGCCCTGTATGGTAGGCCTTTGAGTTTTGTCACAGCATTATGCCGGGGCACTCACCCGGCATAATGCCGTGACGAGCACTGTATGTACCTGTATATGAATATTATTTTATAGTTAGCCACTGTAGCATATGCATGATGTCCTGTAGCTCAGTTGATAGCGCACTTAGGTCACATACTGGGTGTGTATGGTTTGATCCCTGGCACAGGTGTAAATGTTGGATGTGTTTCCTTACACCTGCTGCAGCCATTCACCTAGCAAGCAAGTAGGTACCTGGGTTTTAATCGAGTGTTGTGGGTCGCATCCTGGGGGACAGGATTAAAGAACCCCATTAGAAATAAGATAGACAGTCCCTGATGATGCACTGACTTTATTGGTTTATCCTGAGTGGCTAATCCTTTGGGTTAAAAATCCAAACAGAATCTTATCTTACCATATCTTTTCACGACTTCATTTATATGATTTCTTAGTGAAAATTTTTAATTAATAATACAGCCTTTCCTCACTTAGTGACATACTCATTTACCAATGCCTCAGACTTATGACAGGCTCTCTGACCAGTATGCATACTTAAATAATGTATATTAGAACTGATTTCCTCTATTCTGTTTATTACAGTATAAGGTACACTACTGTATAAATATTTAAAAATGTACTGAAAATGTTATCAGTGGTGTAAAGGTGACATTAAAACAGCATCAAAGATGGTTGACACAAACCCACTACCATCATGGTTTGCTCCTTGCTTAGTGGTGAATTCCTTTACTAACGCGGTGTTTGGAACGGAACTCCGTTGTTAAGCGAGGAGATGCTTTATATAACAAATATGTATCTGCTGTCTTTCCCTCTGGGATTTAATCCCTGAATCTTGTGGTGAGAACAGTGTGTGTGTGTTACCTCCCCTTAACCTCAGATGGCTTGTGAAGCCTGCTTTCTTCTCACCTCATAATGCATTAATAGTTGTACAGTGGACCCCGGTTAATGATATTTTTTCACTCCAGAAGTATGTTCAGGTGCCAGTACTAACTGAATTTGTTCCCATAAGGAATATTGTGAAGTAGATTAGTCCATTTCAGACCCCCAAACATACATGTACAAATGCACTTACATAAATACACTTACATAATTGGTCGCATTCAGAGGTGACCGTTAAGCGGGGGTCCACTGTATTTTATTACTTTGAACTTTGTTACACTGTCATTGCACCAGTAAAACTGTTTCAGAGTGGAAGACAGCCACTACACTGGGCAGCCTGCGGGGGACATGAAGAACTTGCCAGTTTTCTCATAGAGCACGGAGCACCGGTTGACAAAGCTGATGATGTGAGACGTTTTCTTAAATTGGGAATTAATGTTTACATTTTTTAAAATGTGTTAATCATGTGATGTTCTAATTTGTAATAATGTTGGTAGAATTATCAACAATATGTAAAGTAAAAGGACACGAGCTTTGTCAACGTTTGACAAAGCTCCTGGAGAGCGAAATGTTGCCACAATTAAAATGTCACATTAGCTAATGCTCATCGTGTCCTGTCTCTATCATTTTGTTCATCATATAATTTAAAAAAAATTCAGTAGTTGTAGCTCTTGCTACCTACTTTTTTCAGTATACAGTAGCACCTCTGTACTCAGACTTAATTTATTCCAGAAGGTTGTTCGAGTACCAATCTGTTCGAGTACCGAACGAATTTTCTAACCAATTTTGTTTTTGGTTGGCCGTTATCACTAATCTTCTTTGGCCCCATGGTGACTTTTATATTATTTGTATAAATAATATAAAAAAAATGTGAAGAAACACAAAATAGTTTACAGCGAAGTTTTGGCAGGTTGTGTTTGTTTGGTCGAGTGCCGAGCAAATGGTTGACTTCCAAGCGATTTTTTTTTACCACAGTGTTCAAATACTGAATTATTCAAGTAGGGTGCTGTTCGAGTACGAGGTGTTACTGTATTTCATTCTTCCACCAGTATTTGTATTGAAAAGTTTCCATTTTTTTTTCTTAATTTAAATCTGTGGCTTCTTGTTACCCTGTTGAAGTTATAGTACATACCAAAAAATTTGACCATTTCTTTCTTATCCTTTTTTCTATTCTTATATGTTGTTATCATATCTTCTCTTTTCCTGTTATCAGCCAGCATGTAATTTTGAAACTGCATAAGTAATTAATTCATGCTTCTTTGTTAATAGAGCTTAATAAAAATTGTCACATTACTAACATTTGTGTGGTATTGGTCTGAATGATGGACAAGAATGTAACAGCAAGCAACATAATGTGATTCACAGAATTCTGGTACATTTGATTCAACTCGTGCAGTTAGCAGTGGTATCTGGTGTATTATTAGAAACAGTATTAAATCACCTAGATGGCTGGATAAACAAATTAAAAAACACCTTTGAATTGTTATGGTTTGTTTGCTGTAACATAGAATAAAAATATCTCTCTTGTGAATCATTGCATGAATATGTATGTAGTATCAAACAGGGTTGTAACTGAACTCAGAATGTGTTTACTCAGGGGGATCTCTACACAGCATTACTCTTGTAATACCACTGTGGAAAAACTCCCCTTTTATTTTTATAAATGTGTTTTCTTTAATTTACAGTGGAACCTCAAATATAGAACTTTCTTCGGTCCAGAAGGCTGTTCAAGTGTCGCTACTGAACGAATTTATTCCCATCAGGAATAATGTAAATTAGATTAGTCCATTTCAGACCCTCAAAAATACACTTATAAAAGCACTTACAAAAACACACTTACATAATTGGTTGAGTTGGGAGCAGTTCGATTTTTGAGGTTCCACTGTATTTTCCTCTGTATACAGTGGACCCCCGGTTAACGATTTTAATCCGTGCAAGAGGGCTCATCGTTATGCGAAATAATCGTTATGCGAATTAATTTTCCCCATAAGAAATAATGGAAATAAAATTAATCCGTGCAAGACGCCCAAAAGTATGAAAAAAAATTTATTTTACCACATGAAATGTTAATTTTAATACACACAAACTGAAAAAGGCATGCACAATTACATGACACTTACTTTTATTGAAGATCTGGTGATGATTGATGGGATGGGAGGAGGGGAGAGCATTATCTTCTTACTGTTTAGAAGGGGAATCCCCTTCCATTAGGACTTGAGGTAGCAAGTCCTTTTCTGGGGTTACTTCCCTTCTTCTTTTAATGCCACTAGGACCAGCTTCAGAGTCACTGGACCTCTGTCGCACAACAAATCTGTCCATAGAGCTCTGTACCTCCCGTTTCTTCAAGACTTTCCTAAAATGGGCCATAACATTGTCATTGAAATAGTCACAAGCACGGCTTGCAACAGCTGTGTCAGGGTGATTTTCATCTATAAAGGTTTGCAGTTCAAACCACTCTGCACACATTTCCTTAATCTTTGAAGTAGGCACAATGGATTCCACAACTGGCATAGGCTTCTCAGGGTTAGCCCCAAACCCTTCAAAATCTTTCTTAATTTCCATACTAATTCTCACCCTTTTTACCACAGGGTTGGCACTAGAAGCTTTCTTGGGGCCCATGGTCACTTATTTTCCAGAAACACCACCGAAAACACTGTAATAATACGAAATATTCCGAGTGTATGCTTGGATGTTACCGCGGAGGCTGGCTGGTAAACAATGGGACGGCCGGCACATGTGAGGGCACATTGGACGCGTCTCGGACGAAAATCGGTATGCGGGTTTTTAATCGGTATGCGGGGCAAAAATTTTGCGATAAAAGTAATCGTTATGCGGAAAAATCGCTATGCGATGCCATCGTTATGCGGGGGTCCACTGTACTTATATTATATTGGTACTGTTATAATATTTTATTCCTGTTTATCCATATGCTTTTTTTGGCTTTGCATTTCTATACATATCTACTCAGCACTCCTAGCTTAATGGTGATATATTAGTTAAGTACGTAATTATGTTTTATTATTAATCATCTTATTTAGGTACTCTAAGTCCTTGATCAGTAATCTAGTAATCTCTATTTTGGATATCATTTACCACACCAATATTCAGCAGCGTGGTCTATGTAAGCTAATACCAGGCAAATTTACCATGCAAGTTAATACCAGGCAAACTTACCATGTAAGTTAATACCAAGCAAATGGCCAACATTTAGGTAAAACAAAAGGCATTTAACAAGGTGGCCATTTATTAGACAATGATACAATCATGTGTGAATATTAGAATGTCCCAAAGAGGGAGACAGCTAGAACTTATGTACTATACAAAACTTCACTACAACAGGTGGAGGGTGTGATGGTGATAGATAGAGTGGGACTTGACAGTATTATGTCCACTCTGAGGGCAAACCTATTTGTTTTGGTGGGCAGAACGGTATGATGATATATGATCATTATTACAGTGAAAAAAAAAAAAAAGCTTAAAATGTATAGGTTATACAATGCTTAATATGCTATGCTATGTGATGTGATGCTCTGGACCACTGGCTGCAGTTTCCCACATGGAGACTCACTTCAGCATTGCTCTTATCTGTTTGTTGGGCATGGAGCCCTGTCTACCCCTTGCCTCTTTTCACTCAAAAGTTGAACTTGCCCTTGGAGCTAGTGGACCAGATTCTGGATCACTATTTTTTTTTTTTAATTCACTCATGCCATCAGTTGAAGTTTTTCTGATTTGCTGTACTCTTTGAGGTTCACAGGCTCCCATTAATTGCAAATTTGGCCAGTGAAGGATGACTGAGGTGGCACTTGGCCTACTGATACATTTGAGGAGCCTTGTATTTTGTTGATGTAGCTGCTCCTGGGCCTGCAGATGGTTACTTGTTTATATCTCTATGTTCCCATGAACTGTTATTGTGTTTATTATCTCCCCTTGTTGTAGGTGGGGGGCGAGACAAAGGTATTTTTGCTGATTCCTTGTACATACCTTCCCTGACAACCAAACCTGCATGTTTCCTCATTCCATCATCCTGGCATCCTTACTATCATCCAGCTCTCTAGAGATCCTACCACATGATGAAGCTCACACTCCTGTGAAACATTGTCCAATATACACAAATAACCCACACATAGAAGAGAGGAGCCTACGACGACGTTTTGGTCCGACTTGGACCATTTACAAAGTCACACTAACGAGAAGTAGAGCAGGACAGGTATATATAGGCTAGTAGTAGTAGTAGTAGTAGTAGTAGTAGTGGCGGAGATGGAAGGAAGAAGCAATGGGGAAGAAAGGAGGAGGAGCCAGTCAAATACAAAGAAAGGGAGCACTACAAGGAAGCTAGGTGCCCACAGAGGTGGGGGGAGGGAAAAATAATGAAACAAATAAATAAATAAGGAACAGAAACACAAGACAGAAGAAAGAAAGACAACCCAGAAGAGAAAAAAGGAAAGAGGAAAGGGGAAGAGGGAGAAGAAGAAAAAGGAGGAATCAGGTTAAGTCACTGGTGTTCTGAGGTTTGGAGCATTTTACAATGTAGTGGGAGAGGAAGGCATCTACAGAGACAAAGCCACGACTAACACTCATACAAGGAAAGTTGTGTATTAGGGAGGATTCAACAAGACGGCGACTGTTAAAGTTGGAAGTAAGGGAAGACAGTTTTAGCAGAAGACCAGTCTATAGGATGGCTGTGATCTCTGACGTGACAGAAAAGAGCTCTCCCACTACATTGTAAAATGCTCCGACAGAAAAGAGCTCTCCCACTACATTGTAAAATGCTCCAAACTTCAGAATACCCGTGACTTAACCTGATTCCTCCTTTTTCTTCTCCCTCTTTCCCTTTATTCTTTCCTTTTTTTCTCTTCTGGGTGTCTTTCTTTCTTCTGTCTTGTGTTTCTGTTCCTTCTTTATCTATTTATTTCATTATTTTTCCTCCCCCACCTCTGTGTTCTTGCTCTTCCTCTGTGGGCACCTAGCTTCCTTACAGTGCTCCCTTTCTTTGTATTTGACTGGCTCCTCCTCCTTTCTTCCCCATTGCTTCATCCTTCCATCTCCGCCACTACTACTACTAGTGCTGCTGCTGCTGCTGCTGCTGCTGCTGCTGCTGCTGTTGCTGCTGCTGCTGCTGCCGCTGCTGCTGCTGCCGCTGCTGCTGCTGCCGCTGCTGCTGCTGCCGCCGCTGCCGCCACCGCCGTCTTGATGGGAAACCACCAATTTGTTAGTGTCCACATTGAATGTTTTCTTTTCTGGCTAATTGGGGAGAAGTAGTTCTTCATAAACCCAAAATCTGTTTTTCATACTTAAACATCATATTTTTCTAGAAATAGATTCTTCATTTTTTTTTTCAACATGCCAGCTCTCTCCCACCATCATACTGTATTTTTTTTAACACATGCTTTATCAGCTTGCTGTATTTATTTTTAATGTTTTTAAATGTATTGCTGTATTAATAAAATGCTTTTGTTTTCAGAGTGGCTGGTCACCATTAATGATTGCGGCCTCAGCTGGGCGAGAGGAAGTGGTGAGGCTACTAATTGGTCGAGGTGCAAATATCAATACTCGGAACAGTGGTGGTCACTCTGCCCTCCAGTATGCTGCATCCAAGAACCATCAAAAGGTTGTGACTTTTTTAATTGATAAAACAAAAAAGATGGTATAGATGCATTTATAATTGTTGGTGCTGCTGATAATTCAGTGGAACTGACTTATATGGGTTTAATACCGTTTTTTTTTTTTGAGTGTAATAATAATAATGTAAGAATTCATTTTGCCTAAAGGCACATTCAAATCATGTAGGGAATTAATTGCTGAGACTAATATGAGTGAAGATGTTAAATCCATAAAAAGATGTGCAAATATGAATGGAGAGCACAAACACTGCAGAGAAATGTCTGGTGTGGCTATACCACACTACAAAGGTGTGCCATATCTAAGAAAAATGAACAGATCCCCAGGCACAGATGCCATAGGTGGGGTAAAGATAGATTAGAGAGTAGTACAATGTAAGTAGACATGACTCATGAAATCGTAATGATACGATTGCAAACAAACCATACCACGGGCGGGATTTGAACCCGCGGTCAGAGAGTCTCCAGTGGTCCAGTGGCTAACGCGACGGTCTGGAGTTTTGAGACTCTCTGACCACGGGTTCAAATCCTGCCCGTGGTATGGTAAGTAGACATGGTAGGCCTGAATGTGTGAATAATTTAGCTGTGAAATGCTCTGCATCAAGTTTTGTATACTGGCACATGTGTGGTCACCCCACCAAGCCTGAGACAGAGGTATGCCACTGATTGGTCTGATTCCTTTACTGATGTAAGTCAATATCACACAGTTCCTCCGCTGTGATAAGCCTCCAAAATTTTTCAAAAGTTGGCCTATATGTTTAGCCTGAATGTGTAACAAGAACACTAGAGGGCTTAGCATTTCTTCCTCCTCCTCTCCCTTGAATGGCTAACCTGGTATGAAAATTTTGGTGTATCGTGGGAGCCCATAACAATGCTTTTATGAACCAACTTTTTTAAAAATAGTAAACATTAGCTAAGTTATAAAAAAAAAGCTGGATTACTATATGTATTTGGATATTAGTTACTCTCAACAAATTTGGATAATTGGGCTTGTATTGTATAGTATAATGAAACTGCTGTGGAGGCGAGATCAATGGAACCGGTCATCAGGTGACACTAATGAGTCTCCAAGGACTGGTAGCATCAACAAGAGAAGGGAGAGTCTTGAACTTTCATTTACAGTGGAACCTCAAATATCAAACTTTCTTCGGTCCAGAAGGATGTTCGAGTGCCTTTACCGGACGAATTTATTCCCATCAGGAATAATGTAAATTAGATTAGTTCATTTCAGACCCTCAAAAATACACTTATAAAAGCACTTACAAAAATACACTTACATAATTGGTTGAGTTGGGAGCAGTTCTATATTTGAGGTTCCACTGTATTTTCCTGTGGTAGCTGTAATATGGTTGAGTTAATGTGCTCTACTCTTGTGTCTGGTGAATGCTGTTTAATTACAATAAGCTGATTATTGTGATGTCCTTGAACTGGAAGTATAGCTAGGGAATGAGTAATGTGGAATGTTTCTTTCTTTGGGTCATCCTACCTTGATGGGAAACAATATTTGTTTAAAAATAAACTAGAATTACCAGCAATTACTTCCTTTCTTATTTTTATATGTTAAACAGATTGTGTGCATCTTGATGGACAACTGCGCCAATGTGACAACAAATGAACTGAAAGCAACCCTTTTCACGTGCAGCATCGAAAGGCAACATGCCCAAACAACATCAGGGTGCATGCAACAATTTTCCTCAACCTGCAAGCCCTTGGGGGAAACAAAACCTCTGTAAGGCTTATACCTTTTGTTTCGGGGTTCCCCTGCAAAAGACAGGAAATTTTTCGGTTAACCCCTTTTTGTGACTGTCCCGGCTTTAATTTTTATTTTAACCTTTTTCCAATACAGGGGTACTGGGTTTCGAACAGCTTCCAACTCGAACATTATGTAATATATTTTGGGGGGTCTCAACAAATCAATTTTACATTATTCCTTAGGGGAAAAATTTCGTTCAGTACAGGATTGAACACCTTCGGGAACGAATTAATTTTCTAACTCGGGGCCCTTACTTAAAAATGAGCTCATCTCGCTTGGGATAAGCTGTGAGTGGTAAATTTTGGGGCCCTAGTTGTGAGAAAAGGGGTAGATGCATAAGTGTGACCAGTAAAAAAAAATCCTGCTAATGCAGTGCATAATGAAAAAAAAACTGCCTCCATTTTTTGGGTTTTAAAACGCAATTTTGTAGTGTATTTTTATTGTTTTTTGGTTGTATTCCGCTTTTTTGGGATTTGATAGAATGGAAGATATATTACAGAAATGAAATTATTTTTTATTGGTTTTTTTGGACTAAAATTTGCTTGAAATTGGCCCAAATAGCAGAAAGTTTTTATATTGCCATATTCAAGAATAAAAAAATTACATCAACATCCAATACACATCGATGTTGGGGCAATATACATTTACAAATACATGTATTATTTATACAATTTTTACAAATTGCATAACAGTAAATCTTTTATTTTTTTTTTTGTAAAAAAACTTTGTGTGCTTGGCCCCAAAAACCCAATTTTGATCACTTTATTGGAGTTGAAATAGTTTTGGGTTATTTCTTTTTCCCGTTCATAAAAAGGAAGAAATATTAGCAAATAGCTAAGAATTTAGTTAATTTGGAAGTGAAATTTGGGCCCAAAATGGGCTCAAAGTGGGGAAAATCACGCTGATAAAAAATCTTGACGGGGAAAATTCCCAAGCGTAAAATTTTGTAAATTTTTGATCAAATTTCGTACTTTTTGTTTTAGTACCTTCAGAAAAAGATTCTATACCATTTAATAAGAAAAAAATAAAAAAACAATGAAAATTCTTGGACAAGTTTCAGATCAGGGATCTGGACAGTGAAAGAGTTAAAAGATAATGTGAAAAGTAATCATGCTTAATTAAAAACTGTCAGCCATATGTTGGCATACCTTGATATAAGTATTTTTCAAACATTTTAGCCAACTATATGGTGAATAAAAATTTGAGCACTTTCATAAAAATTTTAATAAATTACGCTTAGCATGTTCCATGAATACTGCTACAGTGGAACCTCGGTTTTCATGATTAATTCCTTCCAGAAAGTCTGACAAAAACCGAATTGTACAAAAACTGAAGCAGTATTTCCCATAAGAAATAATGTAAATCCAATTAATTGATTTCAGACACCCAAAAAATTAACAAAAAATACATTTTTTAGAGAATAACTATAGTTTTACATATAGAAAACAATGAGAAATAAATCTAAATGACTAAGGAAATGGATAAATGAACATTTAACATCACTTTTACTTTTATTGAAGACTTGTTGGCGTATGGAAGACGGCGAGGAGGGGAGAGGGAGGAGAGGTTATTGTTTCGAAGGGGAATCCCCTTCCATAAGGACTTCAGGTATCAAGGCCTTATCCGGGGTTACTCCCCTTCTTTGTCTTTTAGTGGCACTAGGACCAGCTTGAGAGTCACTGTACCCCTGTTGCACAAAAAATCTGTCCAGAGAGGTCTGTTTTGGGCATCTCTTTAAGATTTGCCTAAAATGGGACAAGGTATTTTCATGGAACATGTTGCAGACACAGCTTGCAACAGCTTTGTTAGGGTGATATTTCTCCACAAAACTTTGCAACTCACTCCACTTTGCACACACGTCCTTCATCACTGAAGAAGGCACATTCTTCCCTCTCTCTTCCTCCTCTTCTGAAGCAATTTCCTCAGCTGTGATCTGTTGCTGTTCCAGTTGAAGGTGTTGTGGCTCTTCAGTGGTTAGCTCTTCCCTGTGGTCGTCCACCAACTCTTCCACATCCTGGTCACTCACATCCAACCCCATGGACTTCCCCAAAGATACAGTAGATTCCACAACAGGCATAAGATCTGGCACTCTGAACTTTCTTTGGACCCATGGTGGTTTATTTAGCAGTCACACTCAATAAACAAGCATAAAAAACAATGAATTATTGCAAAATGTTTCGGCTGAACTCGCGAGGTGAGGCTCACTCAACGTTAAACAAAGGCAGACTGAGTCACTTGGCACTTAAGTGGCCGAGTGACATGGACAGGCAGGTGGATGCGTTTGGTACAGACCATTGTCAACTCTGTGAAAACTAAGGTGATGTATGAAAACTGGGACAAAATTTTGATGGAAAAAGTCGTCAAAAACTGAGGTTCCACTGTATTAATAATAATATACATATGTACTATGAAATATTTTTCCTCATGCAAGTGGGTAATTTAGCCACTCACTACCAGCAAGTCACCATATGTGTAACATACATTTCTAACACTGAAAAATATTTGTACCTAGTACTTTATTAATTAAAAGACCTATTATTCCACAGCTGCCCCACACACACACTATTATTTTTTTTTTTTTTTTTTTTTTTTTCAACAAGTCGGTGATGGCAGTGAAAGATTCTTGTTCTAGGTAATTGGAACTACCCTCCACTTCCATGGATCAAATCAGATTACGTCTCATTTCTCACACCTCAGGTGCTGTACAGCCCCTGTGGGTTTAACTCTTCTCCATAAATAAAATACTATTACAGATATTATTACTATTAGCCTTTTCATATTTATTATCATTGCAGTATATTATGGGAAAGAACTAAACCTGCAGGGGTCACACATCACCTGGGAAATGAGAGGAAAGCAGATTTTAACCAAGGAAGAGAAGGGTAACTTCACTTACTTGGATCAAGAGCATTTTGCCAGCATCAAGGCCCCCCCCCCCCTGTCCTGCCCTTCCTTGAAAAGCTTAATGCTTCCTTGGTACAATTATGAAGAAATTCTAACCTAATTTCCTGTGGAATGGGAAATAATTGTTTGACCGAGGAAGGGGAGGATAGTTCCACCACCTCCCTTGACTGGAGTGCTTCCATATGTATAATAATTTCCACCTTTTTGTTGAAGTACAGTATGTACCACAGTTTGCTTAATAAAAATACTTTAAAGGTAATTATTCTTGCAGAGTATATTGCACCATCTCTGGTTTTCTTCAAAGATGCTTTCTTGCTTCTTTTTTTTTGTAAATAATGATAATGCTAATTTATGATAAATTTAATTTCTTGGCAGACATCTTGCATGTGAGGAGGAGCGTCTTGATGCAGTGCGGCTCCTCCTTGAACATGGTGCCAGCACACAAATTATGAACAAAGCTGGCAAGATACCATTGGAGATGACTTCCTGTCCATCTATTCGTCGCCTTGCAAACATGAATGAAATGTGATCATTAACTACACATGAAAATCGCTTACAAAGGCAAAAATGTCTTAGTAATGACCTGTGCATTATTATTAAGTTGCATTACAATAGTGAAGTCTAATTTTCTTGTTATGTATTGTTAAAATTGTCTGGTAATTATGTTATGCACAGTTAGCATTTTGTCTTTATTTTCATCAACCATATTATTAGACTACGTATATCTAAATATTAATTAATTAAAAACGATTTCTGGAAATTTGAAGAAGTTATTAGATAAACTCCTTTTGTTACTATTTTGTACTTCTCCCAAAAGATGGACATTGTTTAACAAAAGTACCTCCCACGCTCCCCAACAGGGGTTCCATGTTATCATTGGGGAGGTTTTGATCCAAGGAATTGGCCCTGACCTCTTCCTTGCATCAAACATGATGCATGATAACACTGACTCGGCACCTGAGTCAGTGTTATCACAGCTGTGGTCTAGTTACTCTCTGGGGCCAAGTACCACCCTCATGTAATGAATATCTTGAGGCATGTCACAGCACCAACAGAGCTGAATTTTCTCTGATTCTCTGGATCAAAAGGGAATTAATTTTGTAGTAAGGAGAAGTAAAGAAATTTTGTATAATAGCAGTTTAAAGCTGGCCATTAGAGAAAACTGATATTGTATATTAAAGATGATTAAAGTATATTCATGGATGTAATATATCCTATAGGTTTAACATTTTCCCCTTGTCATTCAAAGTGCTTAAACTAAAGAAGTCTTACTATTTAAAAAATATACTCTAAACTCAAATAGGTCATACAGCTGTAGGGGTCATAGAATGCCTAGGAAATGGGAGGTAATCATCTTTGATCCAAGGAAATAGAGGGTAGCTCCAAATTTTTGGATCAAGGGCTTTCATCAGCATCAAGTAATTCTTTTTTCTTCTCCCATTCCTTGAAGACTGAGTGATGAAGATTATAAATAAAATATTTTGAAATGAGATTTGCCAGCATTTATTACATGGATGCAATATTGTATCAGTCATGTTGCATCTTTGCAATATTGCATATGTAATATGTGTGTGTTTTGCCTTACAGCGTTCCACTAATATGGTGATTTCAAATTACGTATGACCAAAACCTTCTGTGTGGTGAGCGGTCTTTCTAATACAGTGCACCCCATCTGATTTGTTTACATTCTCCATGAGCACATCTCTCTATTATGTCTGGAAACTTTCCAAAATTTCTAGTGTTTTAAAGTTATTGCATATATTATACATGTATGAAGTGGGAAGTCTGAATGTGCATGGATGTTGTGCAAATGATAAGAAAGAGATGATTGTGGATGTTATGAATGAGAAGAAACTGGATGTCCTGGCTTTAAGTGAAACAAAGCTGAAGGGGGTGGGAGAGTTTCAATGGAGAGGAATAAATGGGATTAGGTCAGGGGTTTCAAATAGAGTTAGAGCTAAAGAAGGAGTAGCAATAATGTTGAAGGATAAGCTATGGCAGGAAAAGAGGGACTACAAATGTAAAAATTCAAGGATTATGTGGAGTAAAATAAAGATTGGATGTGAAAAGTGGGTTATAGTAAGCGTGTATGCACCTGGAGAAGAGAGAAGTGTAGAGGAGAGAGAGAGAGATTCTGGGAAATGTTGAGTGAATGCGTGGGGAGTTTTGAATCAAGTGTGAGAGTAATGGTGGTTGGGGATTTCAATGCTAAAGTGGGTAAAAATGTTATGGAGGGAGTAGTAGGTAAATTTGGGGTGCCAGGGGTAAATGTAAATGGGAGCCTTTAATTGAGCTATGTGTAGAAAGAAATTTGGTAATAAGTAATACATATTTTATGAAAAAGAGGATAAATAAATATACAAGGTATGATGTAGCACGTAATGAAAGTAGTTTGTTAGATTATGTATTGGTGGATAAAAGGTTGATGGGTAGGCTCCAGGATGTACATGTTTATAGAGGGGCAACTGATATATCGGATCATTATTTAGTTGTAGCTACAGTTAGAGTAAGAGGTAGATGGGAAAAGAGGAAGGTGGCAACAACAAGTAAGAGGGAGGTGAAAGTGTATAAACTAAGGGAGGAGGAAGTTCGGGCGAGATATAAGCGACTATTGGCAGAAAGGTGGGCTAGTGCAAAGATGAGTAGTGGGGGGGTTGAAGAGGGTTGGAATAGTTTTAAAAATGCAGTATTAGAATGTGGGGCAGAAGTTTGTGGTTATAGGAGGGTGGGGGCAGGAGGAAAGAGGAGTGATTGGTGGAATGATGAAGTAAAGGGTGTGATAAAAGAGAAAAAGGTAGCTTACGAGAGGTTTTTACAAAGCAGAATTGTTATAAGAAGAGCAGAGTATATGGAGAGTAAAAGAAAGGTGAAGAGAGTGGTGAGAGAGTGCAAAAGGAGAGCAGATGAAAGAGTGGGAGAGGCACTGTCAAGAAATTTTAATGAAAATAAGAAAAAAATTTGGAGTGAGTTAAACAAGTTAAGAAAGTCTAGGGAAAGTATGGATTTGTCAGTTAAAAACAGAGTAGGTGAGTTAGTAGATGGGGAGAGGGAGGTATTAGGTAGATGGCGAGAATATTTTGAGGAACTTTTAAATGTTGAGGAAGAAAGGGAGGCGGTAATTTCATGCACTGGCCAGGGAGGTATACCATCTTTTAGGAGTGAAGAAGAGCAGAATGTAAGTGTGGTGGAGGTACGTGAGGCATTACGTAGAATGAAAGGGGGTAAAGCAGCTGGAACTGATGGGATCATGACAGAAATGTTAAAAGCAGGGGGGATATAGTGTTGGAGTGGTTGGTACTTTTGTTTAATAAATGTATGAAAGAGGGGAAGGTACCTAGGGATTGGCAGAGAGCATGTATAGTCCCTTTATATAAAGGGAAAGGGGACAAAAGAGATTGTAAAAATTATAGAGGAATAAGTTTACTGAGTATACCAGGAAAAGTATATGGTAGGGTTATAATTGAAAGCATTAGAGGTAAGACAGAATGTAGGATTGCAGATGAGCAGGGAGACTTCAGAGTGGGTAGGGGATGTGTAGATCAAGTGTTTACATTGAAGCATATATGTGAACAGTATTTAGATAAAGGTAGGGAAGTTTTTATTGCATTTATGGATTTAGAAAAGGCATATGATAGAGTGGATAGAGGAGCAATGTGGCAGATGTTGCAAGTATATGGAATAGGTGGTAAGTTACTAAATGCTGTAAAGAGTTTTTATGAGGATAGTGAGGCTCAGGTTAGGGTGTGTAGAAGAGAGGGAGAATACTTCCCGGTAAAAGTAGGTCTTAGACAGGGATGTGTAATGTCACCATGGTTGTTTAATATATTTATAGATGGGGTTGTAAAAGAAGTAAATGCTAGGGTTTCGGGAGAGGGGTGGGATTAAATTATGGGAATCAAATTCAAAATGGGAATTGACACAGTTACTTTTGCTGATGATACTGTGCTTATGGGAGATTCTAAAGAAAAATTGCAAAGGTTAGTAGATGAGTTTGAGAATGTGTGTAAAGGTAGAAAGTTGAAAGTGAACATAGAAAAGAGTAAGGTGATGAGGGTATCAAATGATTTAGATAAAGAAAAATTGGATATCAAATTGGGGAGGAGGAGTATGGAAGAAGTGAATGTTTTCAGATACTTGGGAGTTGATGTGTCGGCGGATGGATTTATGAAGGATGAGGTTAATCATAGAATTGATGAGGGAAAAAAGGTGAGTGGTGCGTTGAGGTATATGTGGAGTCAAAAAACGTTATCTATGGAGGCAAAGAAGGGAATGTATGAAGGTATAGTAGTACCAACACTCTTATATGGATGTGAAGCTTGGGTGATAAATGCAGCAGCGAGGAGATGGTTGGAGGCAGTGGAGATGTCCTGTCTAAGGGCAATGTGTGGTGTAAATATTATGCAGAAAATTCAGAGTGTGGAAATTAGGAGAAGGTGTGGAGTTAATAAAAGCATTAGTCAGAGGGCAGAAGAGGGGTTGTTGAGGTGGTTTGGTCATTTAGAGAGAATGGATCAAAGTAGAATGACATGGAAAGCATATAAATCTATAGAGGAAGGAAGGAGGGGTAGGGGTCGTCCTCGAAAGGGTTGGAAAGAGGGGGTAAAGGAGGTTTTGTGGGCGTGGGGCTTGGACTTCCAGCAAGCGTGCATGAGCGTGTTAGATAGGAGTGAATGGAGACGAATGATACTTGGGACCTGACGATCTGTTGGAGTGTGAGCAGGGTAATATTTAGTGAAGGGATTCAGGGAAACCGGTTATTTTCATATAGTCGGACTTGAGTCCTGGAAATGGGCAGTACAATGCCTGCACTTTAAAGGAGGGGTTTGGGATATTGGCAGTTTGGAGGGATATGTTGTGTATCTTTATACGTATATGCTTCTAAACTGTTGTATTCTGGGCACCTCTGCAAAAGCAGTGATAATGTGTGAGTGTGGTGAAAGTGTTGAATGATGATGAAAGTATTTTCTTTTTGGGGATTTTCTTTCTTTTTTGGGTCACCCTGCCTCGGTGGGAGACGACCGACTTGTTGAAAAAAAAAAAAAAATGCTTCTAAACTGTTGTATTCTGAGCACCTCTGCAAAAGCAGTGATAATGTGTGAGTGTGGTGAAAGTGTTGAATGATGATGAAAGTATTTTCTTTTTGGGGATTTTCTTTCTTTTTTGGGTCACCCTGCCTCGGTGGGAGACGGCCGACTTGTTCAAAAAAAAAAAAAATGTACTCTGATAATTATACTTATGTGTACCTGTACCTAAATATACTTACACACTGTGTTGGCATGCAGGTACACGTTAAAATCACTAAGAGTGTCCCTCTAGTTTTAACACCATAGTAATATTACTAATACGTAATAATAATCACTCTTAGGCACATTAAATGTCTTAATTTACATTAATAAAGACATTTTCAGTAATCTGTCTTAAGATATTTTCTTCAAAATTATATAAGAAACACGTTTAGCATATAAACATGCTATGTTTTTATGCTATGGAGGGGTGGTAGTCGGGTGGAGGGCAAACATTATGTTTCTCTGGTCCAGCACCAGAGAAAACATCTGTGAATCTGTGTTGGACCAGTCACTCCCCTTAACACATGACGCTTTTGTTTATAATTCTCGCTGCATGAATTATTCATTACTTCTCCCTTTGTTTATGATGGCATTTAAAGGTAGTTGTTAGAAACAATTAAATTCGGTGAAGGTGGTATGTCAGTGGTAATAATATTGCTCTGGGTTGCATTAAATAAAATGTAGCTATGTAGGCAGGTGCAGGTATGTAGCCCAGGCAGACTACATACCTATGTCTACTGGCTACCTACACCTGACTTCCTACAAATAAATACTACTCACCTCTCATCCTACATTAAGACTACACATATTATAAGGCAAAATAATGAGTGTACTGTATGTGTATTTTATCTCTCTGGGCTGCTTTAAATGTCGTATATTAAGTATGGGACGGGGAGCCAGGGCTACCTACACCTGACTTCCTACAAATAAGTACTACTCACCTCTCACTGCATTAACCCATAAACGGTCCAGATGTATATACAGTGGACCCCCGGTTAACGATATTTTTTCATTCCAGAAGTATGTTCAAGTGCCAGTACTGACCGAATTTGTTCCCATAAGGAATATTGTGAAGTAGGTTAGTCCATTTCAGACCCCCAAACATACACATACAAACGCACTTACATAA